CTCCCAATGCAGGTGACTAGAGCTGTGCAGAAAAAGGTCATTCCATTTCCCGGAGGATTTTGATATTTTGAGGTTTGGTTCCTATTCAATTTGGAATGAAAACCCAACATTTTGAAATTCTCTATGAAAGGGAAATTCCCTGAGTCCCTGACTTGGGGACAGTCTGCCTGACTGGCAGTCCCAGAGCTGCAGACCTGGAAGCTGCAGGGTCCCCGGTTCAGGGGCAGTCTGTATGGCTGGCTGCCATGAGCTGCAGATCCTGGAACCCGTGGAAGCTCAGGCTACAATGAGCCATGAGACTAGGAACTTGGGAGATGGCGTTCCCGGAACTTCCATGGTCCCAGCTCCCTGTCAGCCCACCAGGTGAGCTGCTGGGGAGCCGGATGGGGGAGTTATCAGGAACCGTCTCTGCAGAATGTTTCAATTTTGACAAAGCAGCCTGGCTAAATGGAAAAGCCTTCCATCAGGGAATTTCCAATCAGCTCTGTGTAAGACCCTGTGATGGGGTTCTGATGGGTTCCTCTGGGGGTGCCACCTGGAACTGGGTACCACTGAGCCCTCTGACCCATCAGCCTGGGTTCCCTCTCACACTGTGCTTCTGTGACCAGCTACAAAGCCCTCCAGCCTGCACTTTCACCAGCATTCATACAGGTAGGGGCACAGATGCAGGCTCTCTAACCCCCAGCTTCCCAGTCTAGGACCGCAGAGCAGTACCATCCTGCCATAGTCAAATCTGGCCAGTATATGGGTTTAATACCCAGTCTGCCTCGCCCTCAAAGTGAAGAGGACCATGCACAGTTGTGGTAATCAAGCAGAAATTTTCCCCAGACACCTGAGTCAAACACATACTGGTTTGGATTAAAACATAAAATAAGTTTAACAACTACAAAAAGATACATTTAAAGTGACTATAAGTGATAGCAAACAGATCAAAGCAGATTACCTAGTAAATAAACAAAAATGCAAACTAAGTTTAACATATTAGCTAGGTAGGATCAGGGCCGTCCCTAACTATTCTGGGGCCGTATGCAGCCCTCCCATTGGGGGGTTGTGTGGGGCCCCAGGTCTCTGCAGGGGTTGGAAGGGTGGCTTGGGAGAAACACCCCCCAGCACTCACTGGGGGCACAGCTGGGGCTGGGTTGTTGCACTTCCTGCCGCTGGTGAGTGCAGGCATGGCCCTGCTGCAGTCCTCAGGGAAGTTGGGGTGAAGCAGGGGCGAGACGAGGCGGAGGCTTTGGGGAAGGGGTGAGTGGGGGCAGGGCTGGGGCGGAGCAGGGGTGGGAAGAGGTGGGGCTGGAGTGGGGTTAGGGCAGAGGCTTTGGGGAAGGGGTGGAGTGGAGGCAGGGCTGGGGTGGAGCAGGGGCAGGAAGAGGCGGGACAGAGGCTGAAGCAGCATGTGGTGCCCTACACAGCTGCATACTTTGCATATGGGGAGGGACTGCCCTGGTAGGATATGAATTAGCAAATTCTCACCCTGAGTGATTAAAAGGCTGGCACATTCTTAAGGCACAAGCTGCCTTTGCTTTGCAGATGGGTTTCTCAGATTTTCATACACAGGCTAGAATGTGTCAGTAGTCTCTTGGTCTATCCAAGGCCGTGATCAAGTGTCTTGATGTTTTTGGTCTTTTGGCCTCGAGATGAAAACCTTGTCTTTGCTTCTGGGACTTTGAAGTGAAAAAATTCTCTAAGTTATATCTCTTTAGCCTGGGACCATCACTTCTCCCAGTTCAGTCTTTGTTCCTCAGGTGTTTCCAGGTGTGTGGTTGTAGGGAGAGGTCCCATCATGATGTCATTTCCCCCTTTT